TCGTCGAGCGACTGAACTGAATTAATGGTACGTCGTTTGATTTTTTTTTTCTTAAAAATGTAATCTCTTCATACTATGTCGCGCAAAAACAAAAGTAAGTCGACGAACACAAATATTGATGTGAAATAAAACGGAATTCGATGAGAGTCAACATCCTAGCTGCATGTTTTGCAATGCCAAGTTGAGCAATTCTAGCCACAGCTAAGACTATTAACCTGCATGGGAATGCAAAATATAAGATCACTACTTTAGCTGATTTCAAGGTAAAGCCGCGTATTTCTGGACTACAAGTGTCTGAAAGACAGCAGCAGAAGTAACACTTATTTGCAATAAATGTTCTTTGACATGGTGTTTCTTTTGTGGGTGAAAATAATCAATTAATGGTTTTATTTTTTTTTCCTGTTTACTTTCTGCACCAGGAATAAATATAGTTTTTAACTTGACTCATTTTAATTTTTTTTAGCGTAATTTCCTTACAGGACGATTGCAATTATTAACTCGTCATTTCTGGATGGATGGATGGATGGATGGATGGATGGATGGATGGATGGATGGATGGATGGATGGATGGATGGATGGATGGATGGATGGATGGATGGATGGATGGATGGATGGATGGATGGATGGATGGATGGATGGATGGATGGATGGATGGATGGATGGATGGATGGATGGATGGATGGATGGATGGATGGATGGATGGATGGACGGACGGACGGACGGACGGACGGACGGACGGACGGACGGACGGACGGACGGACGGACGGACGGACGGACGGACGGACGGACGGACGGACGGACGGACGGACGGACGGACGGACGGACGGACGGATGGACGGATGGACGGATGGATGGATGGATGGATGGATGGATGGATGGATGGATGGATGGATGGATGGATGGATGGATGGATGGATGGATGGATGTGTGTCCGCAGCGTGTCCGCAGCTTTAAGTCGTATCTCCTCCCCAACGAAGCAATATCGAGGACTAGTTCCAAAAGCAAATATGTTAAGCAAGTTCTGAGGATGAACATAGGCCAAAAATATTCCCGGAATTTCTTCCTGGATTTCCCGAAAAAGTAAAAAAACCTCGAAAAAATGCAGTTCTTGGCCCATATCTCGGCAACTAGTGTTTGGCGAAAGCGCAAATTAAGCATTTGAGACTAGGAACTCCTAATTATGGTTAATTATGATATATAAGTACAAATACATATTTAAACTGGAAATCGAAAGTTTGAGGGGGGGGGGGTGGAAATCGAAAGTTTGAGGGGGGGGGGGGTGCAAATCGAGAATTTGAAAGTTTTTCCCGGGAAGGGTCACTACGCCTCTGGGGGAGGGGGGGTGGTGACACCATTAAGTGCCGCACCGGGTGACACCTGACCTCGCTACGTCACTGCTAGCTGCTTCGAAATACAATTAAAATCTAAATAGCCTACGGCCTGATTTCTTGGACTAACAATAAACATTATGTTTTTATAAATGCCGAGTAAAACGGTGGTTTATATTTTTCCTCGATGCCTTTTTTGTTTTAAATTAATTATTCGACCCTCTCCCCCTACCTAATAATATTTGCTTCAAATAATTAACTAATTCTCCACCTCCGACATTTTCAGGGTTGAATATTCTTTCATCTCACTTTCCGTTAATCTCTGGCATTAATCCCACCCCTTACCTCTTATCAGAACTTTTAACTGTTGTAACCCATGTTAGAACAGTCGGAGTGGCTAGAGTGGAAGGTGATCATTTATAATCGAAATATTAAGATCTGACGAAACTAGGACAAGGGTTTGTATATTTAAAAATATATACATGTTTACATTTGAAAACATTTTTAAAACGTATTTCTAAAACACCATCAGTTATTCTATTGTTAAAATATTGTAATCCGCTACCCATCAAATTTACAATGGATAATCGACCACCAAGTTGTTATCTAAAATAGAATCCATCGAAAACAAATTAAAAACCCTTGTGCACAAGACATATGGATAATCGACCAACAAGTTATTTTCTAAAATAGAATCCATCGAAAACAAATTGAGAACCCTTGTGCACAAGACATATATATATAATCGACCACCAAGTTGTTATCTAAAATAGAATCCATCGAAAACAAATTAAAAACCCTTGTGCACAAGACATATGGATAATCGACCAACAAGTTATTTTCTAAAATAGAATCCATCGAAAACAAATTGAGAACCCTTGTGCACAAGACATATATATATAATCGACCACCAAGTTGTTATCTAAAATAGAATCCATCGAAAACAAATTAACAACCCTTGTGCACAAGACATATGGATAATCGACCAACAAGTTATTTTCTAAAATTGAATCCATCAAAAACAAATTGAGAACCCTTGTGCACAAAACATCTATATAATCGACCAACAAGTTAATATCTAAAATAGAGTCCATCGAAAACAAATTGAGAACCCTTGTGCACAAGACATAATGTTTATGGACCAACAAGTTATTATCTAAAATAGAATCCATCGAAAACAAATTGAGAACCCTTGCACACATGACATATGGATAATCGACCAACAAGTTGTTATCTAAAATAGAATACATAAAAAACAAATTGAGAACCCTTGTGCACAAAACATATATATAATCGACCAACAAGTTAATATCTAAAATAACCCATCGAAAATAAATTGAGAACCCTTGTGCACCAGACATATGGTTAATCGACCAACAAGTTATTATCTAAAATAGAATCCATCGAAAACAAATTGAGAATTCTTGTGCACATGACATATGGATAATCGACCAACAAGTTGTTATCTAAAATAGAATCCATCGAAAACAAATTGAGAACCCTTGTGCACAAGACATATGGTTAATCGACCAACAAGTTATTATCTTAAATAGATTCCATCGAAAACAAATTGAGAACCCTTGTGCACAAGACATAAATTTTTAAAAATAGAATCCATCGAAAACAAATTGAGAACCCTTGTGCACAAGACATTATTAAAAAAAGAAACCAACATTTTGGATCCAGACACATTTTTTCAGCCCCAGCGCGCGAAAATTACATTTCCCACTGGTATCGTCTAACATGAACCGAGCAAAACAACACGTGCATCAAGATAAGAATGTGGGTATCTACGTTCTACACTCATAGCTTGTCCTTGAGATATTACAATTTTTTATCGCGTGAGTAGGTAAAAAAACATGTAGGCCTGTAACTGACTTGCATTTCTTCCCGCAACTATTGGGGCAATGGATTTCTGGCACGAGAACTTTAAAATTACGGTAAAACTGCTGATATAAAGTAGCTGATTTATTGAGCAATGCAATCAAGATTAAACTTTTGATCTAAATTTATCAATTAAAAAGCATGTTGCTAACGAAATAGCTTATTTATTTTAGCTGATCACTAGCACAATCTGGATCTGAAATGAAGACTTGAGTCATGTGATTAGAATTTAAACGTAGAGGCTAGTCATGTGACCAGCACCTAACACGTGGTGTGACTCATGTGACCAGCATATCATATATGGTGACGAGTTTTTTGACTAACGTATGAGATAAGTCACAAGCATAATTAAATTATAAAAAAAATAAAAGAAAGCATAGCATACTACACACAATCTATGTTGCTCAGCATTCTAACATGTGAGATGTGTTAATAACTGCATTATTCAAAAGACATAGATTTCTGATGCCCCACATAGGGAAGATTAAAATATTTATTTTACTTTCTCAAATACAAGATACAAGTATAACCCTTTAGTCAAGTTGTATCTAATGTGTAGTGTGTTTAATAAAATGTTCATAAAACTGACGAACTTTAACAAAAAAAAAAACATCTTCTTTGTTTGTAAGCGTGTTGTAGTATCAATATAAAAAAATCCTGTAAAGGTTTACTGCTATAAATATTTACTTTGAACTAAATTTTGACTGTTTTTTGGGTTATTGCTACATTTTCTAGTACAGAAAGTATTAGTTAATAATAATCGACACAAAGTTAATTTTGGTATGAAAGATGATTTTTTAAAAAAATATACATTTTTATTTTCATACAAATGCTAAGCTTACTCGTCCTTGTAAGATTTTTTTTGGTTTGGGTATACACATTTGTTTTATTTTTATTTTGAGAATAACATTTTTAAATGGTGGGAACGAAAGATTGACATACTTTCTTACTGCAGGGTCAAAGGTTGCCTTGACATGTTCACACTCGTAAGTCTGTTATGTAAATCTCAAGGCCAAGACTCTGGTGATATAACCTAGACAGCCGAGCTCTTATCTTGATGCTTGAGTTGTTTTTACTCGTTGCATGTCACGTGATTCGTGTGTGAAGCTGAGTTCCCACACCCAGGCAGGTTTTTTAAAAAATATGTCGGTTTATTCAAATCCAGTGATTCTCAAAATTTTACTGGTTATCTTTGTATGTGTATATGTTTTTTTGTTTTTTGTTGTTGAATTAGATAAAACCGTTGTGTGGTAATTCAGCTTAAAACTAGTTATTCTATTAGTGCGTTTGTTGTTTTTTTAGGTGAGCTAAATGTTAAGAGGCAAAACTTTCTGCCTTATGGCTTGTTACCATTTAGTTGTATTTTTAAAACAACCGATTTCATCGCCTTGTTTTTTCTTAGTGTCCACCTTTATAAAAAGAAAGATGACATACATGCCCCCTACATGGAAAATAAAAAAAGTACAAATGATATTCGATAAAGTGTTGATGATAATTTATTTCTTTCCTTTTAAAACTTCATCTGTATGCTAAATTAAATAATATAACAAAGAAAGAAAGGTACATAAAAACCCTTTCTAAAATAAAAAGTCGGGCTCTTAAAATGTAGTCAATTTTTTAAAATGTGAGATCCATGAACTTTATTGACGTTTCAGCATAGTTTTTTTTTAACGTGGCAAATTCGGTCAAGGCAATTTCACATGCAATTTTATCAACACGCCTTAGCCCTAACGTTTTTTTTTTTTTTGCTTCAACCCAATGTTTGTGGTATAAATAGACGGCGATATCCTCACAAGCAAACAGAAGCAGCGGTTTAGAGAAGTCTCAAGTTCACGTGATACAGAACTACACAACTAAACAATGTCTTCTATTTTATTGACGGCTCTGTTGTTTGTAAATATCATGTTCACCTGTGGTAAGTACATTTGTATACAACTGCAAAACAAACGAGATGGAGATATTTATTTTTAATTATCTGTAAATTTTTTAGGTAACAATTGCTTGTTTTTATTTACACGTATACGAAGTATAGAGGAAATATTGTAATCGTGCAAAAAATTGAAAGCGATATTTTCACAAATCTTGACGTTTTACTCCTCCTAAGTCGGACAAATACTTTTTTGCAACTTTTCCGTATGTATGTATGTGTGTGTATGTGTGTATGTGTGTTTGTGTGTATGCGTGTATGCGTGTATGCGTGTATGCGTGTTTGCGTGTATGTGTGTATGTGTGTATGTGTGTATGTGTGTATGCGCTTATGGGCGATATGTGTGTATGCGTGTATGAGTTTATGCGTGTATGCGTGTATGTGTGTATGTGTGTATGTGTGTATGTGTGTATGTGTGTATGTGTGTATGTGTGTATGTGTGTATGTGTGTATGTGTGTATGTGTGTATGTGTGTATGTGTGTATGTGTGTATGTGTGTATGTGTGTATGTGTGTATGTGTGTATGTGTGTATGTGTGTATGTGTGTATGTGTGTATGTGTGTATGTGTGTATGTGTGTATGTGTGTATGTGTGTATGTGTGTATGTGTGTATGTGTGTATGTGTGTATCTGTGTATCTGTGTATCTGTGTATCTGTGTATCTGTGTATCTGTGTATCTGTGTATCTGTGTATCTGTGTATCTGTGTATCTGTGTATCTGTGTATCTGTGTATCTGTGTATCTGTGTATGCGTGTATGCGTGTATGCGTGTATGCGTGTTTGCGTGTTTGCGTGTATGCGTGTATGCGTGCATGCGTGCATGCGTGTATGCGTGTATGCGTGTATGCGTGTATGCGTGTATGCGTGTATGCGTGTATGCGTGTATGCGTGTTTGCGTGTATGTGTGTATGTGTGTATGTGTGTATGTGTGTATGCGCTTATGGGCGATATGTGTGTATGCGTGTATGAGTTTATGCGTGTATGCGTGTATGTGTGTATGTGTGTATGTGTGTATGTGTGTATGTGTGTATGTGTGTATGTGTGTATGTGTGTATGTGTGTATGTGTGTATGTGTGTATGTGTGTATGTGTGTATGTGTGTATGTGTGTATGTGTGTATGTGTGTATGTGTGTATGTGTGTATGTGTGTATGTGTGTATGTGTGTATGTGTGTATGTGTGTATGTGTGTATGTGTGTATGTGTGTATGTGTGTATGTGTGTATGTGTGTATGTGTGTATGTGTGTATGTGTGTATGTGTGTATGTGTGTATGTGTGTATGTGTGTATGTGTGTATGTGTGTATGTGTGTATGTGTGTATGTGTGTATGTGTGTATGTGTGTATGTGTGTATGTGTGTATGTGTGTATGTGTGTATGTGTGTATGTGTGTATGTGTGTATGTGTGTATGTGTGTATGTGTGTATGTGTGTATGTGTGTATGTGTGTATGTGTGTATGTGTGTATGTGTGTATGTGTGTATGTGTGTATGTGTGTATGTGTGTATGTGTGTATGTGTGTATGTGTGTATGTGTGTATGTGTGTATGTGTGTATGTGTGTATGTGTGTATGTGTGTATGTGTGTATGTGTGTATGTGTGTATGTGTGTATGTGTGTATGTGTGTATGTGTGTATGTGTGTATGTGTGTATGTGTGTATGTGTGTATGTGTGTATGTGTGTATGTGTGTATGTGTGTATGTGTGTATGTGTGTATGTGTGTATGTGTGTATGTGTGTATCTGTGTATCTGTGTATCTGTGTATCTGTGTATCTGTGTATCTGTGTATCTGTGTATCTGTGTATCTGTGTATCTGTGTATCTGTGTATCTGTGTATCTGTGTATCTGTGTATGCGTGTATGCGTGTATGCGTGTATGCGTGTTTGCGTGTTTGCGTGTATGCGTGTATGCGTGCATGCGTGCATGCGTGTATGCGTGTATGCGTGTATGCGTGTATGCGTGTATGCGTGTATGCGTGTATGCGTGTATGCGTGTTTGCGTGTATGTGTGTATGTGTGTATGTGTGTATGTGTGTATGCGCTTATGGGCGATATGTGTGTATGCGTGTATGAGTTTATGCGTGTATGCGTGTATGTGTGTATGTGTGTATGTGTGTATGTGTGTATGTGTGTATGTGTGTATGTGTGTATGTGTGTATGTGTGTATGTGTGTATGTGTGTATGTGTGTATGTGTGTATGTGTGTATGTGTGTATGTGTGTATGTGTGTATGTGTGTATGTGTGTATGTGTGTATGTGTGTATGTGTGTATGTGTGTATGTGTGTATGTGTGTATGTGTGTATGTGTGTATGTGTGTATGTGTGTATGTGTGTATGTGTGTATGTGTGTATGTGTGTATGTGTGTATGTGTGTATGTGTGTATGTGTGTATGTGTGTATGTGTGTATGTGTGTATGTGTGTATGTGTGTATGTGTGTATGTGTGTATGTGTGTATGTGTGTATGTGTGTATGTGTGTATGTGTGTATGTGTGTATGTGTGTATGTGTGTATGTGTGTATGTGTGTATGTGTGTATGTGTGTATGTGTGTATGTGTGTATGTGTGTATGTGTGTATGTGTGTATGTGTGTATGTGTGTATGTGTGTATGTGTGTATGTGTGTATGTGTGTATGTGTGTATGTGTGTATGGGTTTATGTGTGTATGTGTGTATGTGTGTATGTGTGTATGTGTGTATGTGTGTATGTGTGTATGTGTGTATGTGTGTATGTGTGTATGTGTGTATGTGTGTATGTGTGTATGTGTGTATGTGTGTATGTGTGTATGTGTGTATGTGTGTATGTGTGTATGTGTGTATGTGTGTATGTGTGTATGTGTGTATGTGTGTATGTGTGTATGTGTGTATGTGTGTATGTGTGTATGTGTGTATGTGTGTATGTGTGTATGTGTGTATGTGTTTATGTGTTTATGTGTGTATGTGTGTATGTGTGTATGTGTGTATGTGTGTATGTGTGTATGTGTGTATGTGTGTATGTGTATGTGTGTATGTGTGTATGTGTGTAAGTGTGTATGTGTGTATGTGTGTATGTCTGTATGTCTGTATGTGTGTACGTGTGTACGTGTGTATGTCTGTATGTGTGTATGTAATTATGTGTGTATGTGTGTATGTGTGTATTTTTGAATGTGTGTATGTGTGTGATTGTCTTTCGACGCGATAACTTGAGTACCGTTATAGTTAGGTTAATGAGATTTCGTATACAGGTATAATGTCAAATTTGCAGTTGTGCATGAACTTTTCAGTGATTTCCGGTAACCAGAAGTTGAACTTATTCTACTCTTAATTTTTCATAAGCGTATGACTTGATTATTATTTTAGATAGATAAATGAATTTTCAAATGTTAGTAAAAGTTCACTTTCTCTCCTTTTTGTCAAATTCTAAGTAATTTCTGATGTTCGTAAGTAGTAATTTACGTTCTTTCCAATTTCTCAATATGTATTTATAAATTATTAATATTCCGAACTATTATTCAGATACTTTTAGCCGTTCTCTTGATGCGCAATTATTTTATCACGAGATACTTTTTAGGTTTAAATGTTTATGAAATTAAAAATGGTGTTGTCGTTCCCAGTAGTGTTATTTAATAATACCGGAGAAAGTTTAAGGGAGATCACTCCCAATTTATTTCATTTATAAATTTGATAATAATTTCGCTTGAAAAAACAATATTACAAATGTCAATCATTTCTAAAAATTAACTTATGACCAAACACCGCGGTATACAATTATTCGCTTGTTAACGTCATTGTCGACGGACACAGGAAATACATTTGTCATTTTCTTTTAATCTTTATATGTAAGAACAGAATGATCAGTACAGTCTTCATTTCTGTTCTATAGCTAGAGTTAGGTTATCATCTCACGGAACCAAAGTTAAGAATTTTGTAAGCTAAAATCCATCAGCCGTCCAAAAATAGGTTGCTTTAGGCAGAAGCATTTTCTTCATGTATAAGTAACCAACCTAACTGTTCCTTGACATCATCTTCAAAAAAGTTTTTTTAAATAACTTTTTTAACCAATCACTTTCTTCTGAATAGTCTTTGTCTGTTTCAGGTTCTGGGCCATATGATGTGTTCCTTCGAATGCACTTTCAATGTATTTTACGACATACATGTCGGCAACAAACTTCATTATTGCCTGTTTTATGTTCTGTGCCATTATATTTGTTTACCACAATATCATCCTTCATTTACTTCTGGATAAGATTCGCTACACTTAGCAAGGTAGAAGTTTATGGGGTTTTAGAGATGTTTGTTTTCCTATGATGCGTTGCTGTCTCTAGCTAATGTACTTCATTAGACCAGTGACCGAGCTTGAAACTAGCTAATTGTAAATTACTTCAGTTTTAATCCAATTTCTATTTTTAACAAAAGCGTATACATTTATGACTTTAGAGGGCTGCCGTTTTCTTTCCGTTTTAGAAACTATATTTAGACGTTAAAATGCATAACATATTTTGTTTAAGTTAATTTTTTAAAATTCTACCAGTGAACGCTTAAACCTAGTTTTCTATTTAGTTGTGTATATGTTAATTTGTAAGTAATGTGTTAACACAAACATCGATAAAAAGCCCTACCTGTTTTCAATTATTGGCTCTGTCCAAGTAATTTAAATAAACTAACACATATTGAATAATAATTTACCGACGATTACAATAATACAACTTGTTGTACACAATTTCAGTTTTATGTTTTAATTATTAATTTTTTTTGCAATTAATAGATTTCTTTGGAAATAATTTACAATGAAGACATTGAAAAAGAAAGGATTATTCGAAGGCTGTTGTGCTTGAAGTGTATTAAAATAAAGTATTTCTTGATTAATTTAGTTTTCCAAATTTCATTGGTTTATTTTAATATATTTCAGGACTTGACATTTCACTAGAAAGAGAATATTATATGGAGGGTAAAGATTTATTTTGTGGCAAGTTACATTGTGTGGAGAACACAAGAGAAAATAATGAAATCTCAGCTCTTGTCAACATGTCAGTCTATAGCATCAGTGAAATAGAGGGGAAAATTGTGTTGGCGTATTTTTCAGAGTCCGATTCAAGAGTTCGAGATTATAAAGTTGCTGGATCGAAAGTTGATGGAAAGTTTTCAAAAGTGTTTGGAGAATTGACCTTATCATTTACAAAACCTTCCGATTGTTTTAGTACAGTGTTTGGATGTGATGTGTATTACACAAATAGAAGGGGTCTCACTGAGACGAAAGAAAATAAAACCAAGCCTGTTGACCAAGACAATTTTAAGCCACTGATGTTGATGACCTTAGAGGCTAAAACTCCAGAGTTTGATAAAACAATTGATAGAATGTCAGAGTTTCTAAAAACATTTAAATATTCTGATAAGTTAAACAGAGCTGACTTGAAGATGAATTTACAGTTTTTAACAGATGACAAACGTTCTAACCTTAGTTATCACAAAACAGAATTAACAAAGGAGAAGGTTGATGAAACTCTGGTTAACCTTACTAATGCGATGGAAAGTAGATTCAATAGCTTGTTATCTGCCCAAGGATCTACAATTCAGAGACTTGAAAATCAAATGAACAACGTTGTTAACAGACTGAACACCTTAAATAACACAAATCAAGAGCTCACGCATTTTAAATACAACTTCACTGAGAGCTATCTAAAGACAATTCAACAGATACAAGCGAACAATAACACACTTGAAAAACAAAATAGGTCGGTACAAAATGTAACAAATCTATACATTGTTTTACAAAAACAACTGGATAAACTGAATAATAGTGTGGTTAATGTATCATTAGATGTTCAAACTTTGTCTCAAAGGTTAAATAAAAGTGAAATTTTAACAAAAACCATGCAAGTTTTCAAAAAAGATTTACTAAATTTAACTAACGAAATGTTAAAAAATAGCACAGCGATATTGGAACGTCAAAATATAAGCATTCAACAACTGGATGAAAGCAACAAATTACAGTCAGAGACACAGTTAAAGATACTGAAGGATTTACAAACAGCGGTATCACTACTACACAAAACAGACATTGATATAGACGCCCATTTGGAGGAGATGAACAACATCATTCAAAACCTGATTACTAAATCAGATCAAATTGGTGTCCTAGTCAGTAGATTACATGGATTTATTGGCCCTGTGCTCAACGAAAGCGAACACGTACGTTGAATATAAGAATGCTCCCAAGTAGTTAAAAGTTAAAGTATTTTACTTAGGCAGGGTATGTTTTCGAATTAACCTTAAATCAATACAGTGCTTAGTTTCGTTAAAATTAGAAAAACTAGAATGTTTTAAAATATTTTATATACTCAAATAATATTCAATAAACGTTAACAAAATAAATGACATATTAAATTAATTGGCTATATTTGGAAAACAACTTTAACACATACTAACAATATTTAGGAGTATATATTTGTACTTACACACAAAAACACGCATATATTATATGTATATGTATAAGTATATATATATATATATATATATATATATATATATATATATATATATATATACATATATATATATACATGCATCTGTATGTATATATTTTTCCTGGTTGTGTGGGAGTGTGTGGTGCTTTGCTAGGCGATAATGTTGGTTTAGATAATTACATATTATTATTAAAAAAGCAAAGTAGAAAAATTGTTAAATGTGTGAATAAACACATGATTTCAATGAATACTGTTTCATCTAATAATAAATAAATTGAAGTATTCGAAATGTTTTTTTTTTCTCCAGTTAAAATGTGCCAACATGAACGATCGTATTTACTCGGACATGACAGAGGCTGGAGTAGATGTCAACAGAACATTGTGTGATAACAAGTCAGACGGTGGAGGATGGATTATTATACAGGTTATTTTGTCATTTAAAACATTCTTACACATTTACCAAATAAGTTTTTTCCGATATTTTTTTCTAACAATTTTGATGTTTTTACATCATTGAACACAAATGTATGATACTAAATTATAGACGCTTAGCTACGGTCTAAAGAAAAAAAAATGTAAAATTTGAAAGATATACCGAGGGTTTTGTATAATATCTTTTGTTTGTTTATTTGAAATTAATATGATTATAATAGGTTATATCGACGTTTTTAACACAAGCTAAAGTTTTATTGTAGTTCTGGTAGGCCGCTGGTCAATGTTTTAATTGGTTGACCTGAAGTTATGTGTTTTAATTTACAGTAGTATTTTTAACATAACTCAATGTTTAGGGAATTGTGATGTGAAAGCTGATTCGTAGTATAGTTTATTGTTCTTCTTGATAAACGTTTTTATTTTAAAATAAAAGAGAAAATCAGACTATGTGATAGACAACGACAATGTTCAGTGTAAATTTACTTTTAAAAATCTGATTGTGAAAAATATACTTAGTGTTGTATGTACAAAATTTGCGATTTTTTTGGTTTCAATATTTAACACAAGCAAATTAAAGCAAGTGTGTTATCCCAAAAACATTTTAGCTGTCTAATACACAAAGTGTTGGAAATGTTTAGAGAGTTAATATGAAAATATTAAGTATAATAAACTAACGACTGATTTGATTTTAAGTAAATTGTTTGTTGTATGATATAACTAGAATCTTAATTAATCTCAAAGATAATTAAACCTTGGAATAAATTAAATGAACTCGGTAACCGTATGTTTACCACCGCCGTCATTTTAAACAGAAGCTTTAAAACTTTATATTAGAATATTTATTATTTCTTACAGAGACGTCTCAAAGGTGATGTGAACTTTACAAGAACTTGGAACGATTATAAAAATGGATTCGGTTCAACATCTGGAGACTTTTGGATCGGAAATGATGTAATTTCAAAGTTGACAGATTTGGTAAGGAAATATTGGCTGCTTAAAACCCTGCATGGAAACTGAATTTTTTACTAGAACATCACGAAATAACACTGAGTAATGTGTTTAGGGGAGTATTAAGGTGATTGTACCATACACACTTCAAGATAAACATGCTATCACTTAATTTCTAATTCTTAAAACAATCACTTTATATGATACATGTATACTCTAGTTTGTTAGTTTAGTTATATGATAACTGTTTCACAAAACATGGGGTCCTTTCAACATCAATTTCTCAGTTTGACAATAATTTCTTCTGCGTGATTTTCAAAAAAAGTATCTACTTTAAAATTTAGTACTTTTATTAACGATTAAATTTAGTGTAAAAACTAATATGACACGCGAGATAACGTATGAAACACGCTTTTTTTATATAGTGTGATTTTGTATTTTACATCTCAACTGACACAACTTGCACTTATACAACTGTTAAAGACTGTCTGTTAACAAATAAAAACATTATTTTTCTATCGGTAAACAAATGTCTTTTCAAATTCTTCGCAAGATATGACATTATTTATATTATTATATTATTTGAATTGTAAATAAAATACACTTATTTATTTTTTAATATCTCATCTCTAGAAATAATGTTACAATTTTAGTGGTCTTGAGCTAGTTTCATAGGTCATGGCAAAGCTGAGGATAGAATATTACAGCTCCCGCTCTTCCACCCCTCTTTAACTATCCTCAAGTCATTACCCCCCTATCATTTCCTCAGATTAACTACCCCTGTAAATTACTCCCACTCAACATAAAACTGCAATAGGACACTTACCTATTTTATAATTCAACGGACACCAGTACATAGAGTGTATAAAATGGTTAGCGATATGTAAAACTTGGGGTTATGAATAGGAGATGGATAGTGTGATGACGCAAGATTACGTCAGACATGTTTAGCAGATATAGGTTAGCAGAAACAGACTATAGGCCTAGTTGGTTGGTTAGAGAGGCCAATGGGCGCACATGGCTGACCGGTCACGTGGGACGGTCAGCTGACCACTGAGGCGTGGGGCAGTAGAGCGATAGGCCAGGAGTTGTTAGGTAGCGGTCAGAGACGGCCGAGAATGTAGATAGTTAGGAGATCATGATTAGCTAGCGAAGGTAGAAGGTGTTAGGTTGTAGAATGTAGAGAACAGTTAGTGTTAGGATTGGTCATGGGAGTGCGTAATAGTAGGTAGCATGTGGTATGAACAGTCAGTAGTAGAAGTAAATAGTACAGTGTAGATCAGTTAGGTAGAAACTTGAACATATATATCAATTTTAATAAAGAACAATTATAGTTGAACTTGAACTGTGTGTTATTGGATTCATTCGTTACCGCCTTCTTAAAATCCCCACCCTCACAGATAGGAATGGTGAAATGTTGTAATTTAAAGGAGAGGACAGTATTTATAGAACTAGGGTAATACATTTTAGAGGAGAGGGTATTATTGACTAGCAGTAAATAACTGATTAGGTAAGTGAAGGATATTGTACTAGAATTGGCATTCACACGTTCGTTTAATCTAGATATTTCTTGTAAGAAAATATATTGATGTGTTATTATCATTGCGGAACTAGAGAAAAAAGGATCCCCCTCAAAAAGTTTTTTGTAGCCTGCTTCAATTAATTTTAAATTATCTATTTCCTGAGTAATTTCAAACATGTCAATGAGATGTGTAACTATACTGAGATAACAAACCAGATACTATAATGTCCAAACTAATTTTGGGCCTAATGTAATCGTGTTTTATAATAAAAAAAAATACTGTAACATAACATGCCGTTTGGGAGATATTTACAAGGTAGTTGGAGTGATGCAAATGGTATTAGAAATAAATAGATAAATAAGTAAATAAATACATAAAATACATTGGGTTTAAAGCATGTTGGTTAAAGAAAAGTGGCCAAAGGCTGGTTTAGAACATTTTATTATAAACGAGGGTGAAAATTATAACATATAGTAGAATAGTCGAAAATAAAGTAGGTTTAAGTGGATTTCATCCCATTTCGTACAATAAACATCTACGTATATATTTCTCTTCATGGGGGACCATTCGGGACAAGACGTAGACGCACGCAGAACCCCCCACCCCCTATCTCACTCTCCATGCATACCCAACAGACCATGTCGCTACCTGCCCCACCCTACCAGTCGCGTGATTTGTTTACAATCGTAGAGCCCGGTGGAATTATTTACGGCTATTAGGGGCAGATAATTTATGTTTTAAACGATTTAAAAATTAGGGGAGGTAATAACAAGCTTTGCTTGATCTTTTCATTGTCTTCTGTAAACTATCGTCACGGATGGCTGTACAATACTAGATATAACAGGAATAAAAAACACAAACAAATCAAAGCTGATGTTCTGGGGTATGGTGAGGTCGTTGGGGGGGGGGGGGGGTAGTGTTCCGAACAGGTTGGAGTGTTAGTGATTGAGTGGGAGGGGATAACGTGTGGTGCTTCTGTGTCGATGTGCATAGTCGTAGCTAAGATTATTTGACTGCTTAGTGCCGACATGTTTTGGGTGGGTAGGCGTGAAGCTATAATGATGTTTGGGGATACGGTGGAGTTTTAAAGGTAAAAAATTGGATAGCAGTGTTCTCATAAAAGAATTTGAATAGTTTCGTACTTGTTAATAAAGGTAAACTCTATGTGAAAACAGGTGGGGGTCTACGGGGGTGGGGAGAGGAGATAGACGGATGGGGTCTTGGGGTCACGTAAGCTGTGGAACAATGGACAGTAGATATAAAATACTATTAAATTAGTGTTAAAACATATCATTACAATGTTTGTTTGAATGTTATGTCAATAAAACCGATACAAAAAAGGAGCATTAGAAACCATATTCATACAGAATAAATAGTACAAAAAGAGATGGGGGCACGAGGGTTGTGGGGTTGGGGTCATGGGGCCAAAAACATTAGAAAGGGGAGGGATTTTTGAGATACCAGAGGCGGTGATGCGCATCTAAGGTGTTGTGATCAAGACACTCGGAAGCTGAGAGTTAAATATAAATTAACCAACCCTAAACCTTATACATTCGCGGTTGTAAACGAGTTTAGTATTAAGCCGCCTTAGAGGTTTTTATACTGATCGAGAAAAAAAAATACGATGCTCTTTTAGACACGCTCTGCATTGCTACCATAATGTAGGCTACAATTTGACCTAGATGCATTGCTGAGGTGGAGATAAAATAAATAAAATTAAAGAATTGAACGATGAAGATATATGACAAATATGAGCTGAAGAATGTATTGAATCTGGCTAAAACTTTTAATGGGCTGTTGAAAAAGGGGATAAATAGATGGATGGATAATAGAAGCTGCAAATGTGGAGATACGTAGTGAATGCAAAGTCTTGAAATTTCTGCTATTAATATAGCATACAATTGTTTACAGTTACTAATACATTCATGTGGATAATTTTATTTAATCTTCATATCGATTGGACTGTGTGGCTGGTGTACACATGTCAATGGAACGCACATTTAAATCATCAGTCATGGCATGAAATATTTAAAATACATTTAAATGGACCTAGATTAAGTAACGTGCTATTTTAATGGCGAATGCATCCTAATGTATTATGTTGAGTTTTTAAATTTTACTAAACAATAGCTAACTAACGAAACAAATACTATACATCTTCACTTTATATGACGAAGGTGCATTTACTGTACATGCAGTATGTTAATAGATGAATAAATTAACATAGCGTGTTTTTATTTTTGTCGGGAAAAAAGCTAAGTGTCTTGATTTCAGAAGTGTTTATTAGATAACCGATTAACAGATTAGTTAGATATTTTAGAAAGGGTAACGCAGCTTATACAATAAAGATCGTGGTTATGTAACGAACCTTAAAGAATAGTGTAATGCAGTCAGCAGGATATTTTCAACCGGTCATTTCTTCCTCACCGGTTTTATGAACAGTTCTATTCCACACCCTCCCGCCTGTCCTAACCTTTATTATATTAACCCCATTTCACAACATACATATGGAGATACAAATAAGATACAATCTAAGATTTAGAATTAGGGCTATTGAACATATCAAAAGAAGGAAACGTACATAAGTAATAGATATTGTAAGGGAGATGGGTTTATTAACTGCGAGCGTGTTACAACGGCAGGCAATGTAAGGAGATTAATGAAAAGGAGGGAGTTCTAGAAAAGCCATACGTAAATTGAATATAAATAGTATTTCTTGTAAGGGAATATATTTTTAAGTTGCAATGTAAGCAGGCAATAGATAATGTAATATTTTTTTTCTCAACAGACGTTTTTTGTTATAATGATGGGGTAGATACAGGAACTATCAAAACAAGTTTATTCAATATTTTTTTACAAAGAAAGTTTTCAAGCAGTGTGTGTATTATTGTAATAATGTGTTTTGGAAAATTGTGTATATTGTTTATAGATTTTCGTTAGGTTTTTTAATCGATATGTATAATTATCATATAGTATAGAGGGATCAATACTTACAATATTTCAAACACAATGCAATATCTAAATATTTCTAATTTTTTGTCTAAAACAGGGTTATAATGAACTCAGATTTGACATGAAGTATAAAGGTAAAGACTACTACGCTGTGTACAGAGGTTTTAAAGTAGAAAATGAAGCAGCAAAGTATAAGATGAGCCTCACGTCATTCAGTGGTGGGAATGGTGGAGACTACTTTAGTCGTCACAAGGGCATGAAGTTTACAACCATTGACTCTGAAAACGATGTGTGGTCACGTGGCAACTGTGCTGTAGACATGAGTAGAGGTGGTTGGTGGTATGAGGCTTGTCACTGGGTTAACGTCAACGGTGAATGGGCGAGTCGTGTTGTTGATAAAGGAATTCATTGGGCTGGCATTACAGGCTATTCTGACGTTCTAGACTTTGTTGAGATGAAACTTCGTCGAATGTAAACAACCCGAAAACAATGCTATGGTAAAATAATAGATATACAGTAGACAAATTATTTATATAAACATCAGAAACATTTCATGTATTAAAATAAATAGATGTAAACATTTCACTAAGGAAATATTTTCTTGATGGTGAGTATACATAAGAAGTTTAAAATTAACGAACATTAAACCAAACATTTTATTTAAAAAATGATTTTAAAAACTACAACAGAGTTTGTTTTACTATCATGATGTAATAAAGCCATGTATACACTCATCTGGAATTGAAATTCCTCATAGATTGACTGTGTGTGTGTTAGCCATTAAAACAGGTAAAAAACGACTATGATGGTGTCATTTATTTCTTGCATATTCATAACTAGACTAGTAGTGTAGTTGTCATCTACCACTATATCTTTAATTAGACATTCACTCGGATCGTGTGAAGTTTAACTCTAATAACGTGTGTAATGTTTGTGCAATTTTTTCAATAATATTTTTTCGCATAGTTTTTTGAAAGATGTATATATGCCACCTAACATCGCATAAAGTAGAAAGTAACTGTTAATTTGGGATATGTAAGGCTTTGTATTATAAATGTGAACATTTAAGTAAATCCTATGTTTAAGTAGTTAATATTTTATCTAGTGTATCTATTATTGAGCATGTTTGTTTATGAAGAAAGTCTCCTATCACATATAAGTACATATTAGTACAAAATAAAAGTTTTAATTCTGAATATGTTTGTATTACTGAGATTGGAATATTCTTTTATTATCGTTTTCAAGGTATATAACCATACTCTCACAAATCAAGTGGGTAATTTTAATTGTTATCTCCCGTGAACAATTTAGTGTCGTTTGTGTTCCATACCATAGGCTAGAGAAATTTCCAATTACCTAATTTTATAATTGTATTTGATTAGTATGTTTACATGGACACAATTAATGGAAAGCAATTATATGGATTTATATACATCTTTATTATATCGCTCACTTAATTTTAATATCAAGCCTTCCTTTTGTAGTTTAGGAAATTGTTTGTTTTATATATTTACTAATAAATCCATTTATATAACTTATGATATATGTGTTATTTTATTTTATTTGTTTTGTTTTTTTTTTTCGTTTTTTTTTAACACATAATAAAATTTTCTGAATTATCAAACATATAATAGCTGTCGTTATTTTGTAATGTGATAAAGACAATAAGGACCAAGGCTAGTGCGTAAATGAGTCAACACAGCTACGGTGGTACTTTACTCACGTTATGGAACATTGACTACGTTTTTCATGCTTATGTCGAGATTATAGAAAAATGTAAACTCTATATGATAAGATACATCAATAACTTTATTAACTTAATGTTTCCATTTCTATCAGTATTTTGTCATACAAGAAACAACTGCTGATGTGGTCTGTAAATCCTGTAAGCTTGTCAGTTCCTCTAACGTGAATGTTTTCAATACAGGTCAGACCTTCCGACACCAGACCACTGCTGACAAGATTTTACCTTAATGTTATTTTTGGTATTAGCTCCAGTATTAACTTTATTTTTTTATCTCTGGTCCTAGCTAAAAGTTGATTTTAGCATCGTGCTTTATTACTTTTCAGAATTCCCTTTAACAAGTTAGATGGCGTATAATGAGCTTAAAACGGTAATGCCCGTGTGTTAGAAATGAGAGATTAGCTTGTATTCTGAAGACGTGTGTATGTGTGTGTTCCCAGAGTATTGCTGCCATCAAAGACATTTGTATGTGTGTGTTCCCAGAGTATTGCTGCCATCAAAGACATTTGTATGTGTGTGTTCCCAGAGTATTGCTGCCATCAAAGACATTTGTATGTGTGTGTTCCCAGAGTATTGCTGCCATCAAAGACATTTGTATGTGTGTGTTCCCAGAGTAATGCTGCCACCAAAGACATTTGTAGACTGGCACGGTAGGGGGAGCGTGACTGGGTAAAATGGGATACGGAGGTTCTATACGGCGTCAAACGTACAGACAAGGGGAGGCTACTGGAGAAATATGTGTGGCACGGCCTAAATGTAAACCACTCAAGGCGATAGATTCCTGGTCTAGATCTTTCGAGTTTACCTGTTCTAGAAGTTGAGCGCTCGAGTAGAAAATGTACCGTTAGGATATCCAGTTTTTTCTAACTAATCTAAGAACAGTCACGCTTTATATATAATAAATACATAAAAAAGTTTATAATTACAAGCTTTTATAAATGCACTAAAAAGAAGAAAATAATACAATTTTTTATAAAATATAAATAATTTTTAAAAATATAATAAATCTGCGGTTACTTTAAATATAAAATTACTTTCTTTAAATATATTAATACACTACTGATTATATCAATATAAATAAAAGCGTATGTCGTTATAATGTTTTAGTGGGCGTATTTATTTGCAAATCAATATAAATACCATTGGTGTATGTGGCATTTTGTGTTTATATATATATATATATATATATATATATATATATATATATATATATATATATATATATATATATATATATATATATATTCAAACTGTGGATTTAGGAAAGATGAAGCATGCATCAATCTACACAAGTACGTACCACTGATTAACATTATACCCTTTTAGTTTATCGCAGTATTTCAGTATTGGTGTGTTTATTTTATTTTATTTTTTTTTTATTACTTAGTGCATAGAAAATATTTATGTAGTGCTTTTATATTTACAGACGGGCCTACATATTTCATTGTTTAAATACTTATTATTATAGCGACCCACGCTTTTATTTATAGTGATATAAATAGTAGTGCATTAATATATTTAAAGAAAGTATTTTTTATATTTAAAGTAACCGCAGATTTATTGCATTTCTAAAAATTATTTATATTAAATAAAAATTGTATTATTTTCTTCATTTTAGTGCATTTATAAAAGCTTGTAATTATAAACGTTTTTATGTATTTATTATTTTTATACTTTTTAGTATTATCGTGTTAAATGCATGTTAAGACAATATAGTGAAGCAACAAATATATGATACACAATTTGAAAAACAGTTTTGCTTTAATAATATGATTAGTTTTACTATACGTGTCACATTTACTGATTTTTTTTTACGTTTCAAAAATTGCCCCAATTAGCTGAACACATATCTTAAAACACAAATCTTTAACACTTCTTAAACTGAAGACATTAATACTGTTCAGTCTGTGGTCAAGTTTATAGCTAAAGTATGAGTTGACTTAAGGTGTTCTTCATTCTATTTAGCTCGGATAAAGCTTCGTTGTTGCAGGGTGTCTTTTCTGTCAGTTTTCTGCAGTCCAGTTCTTCTATACGAATGCCGTCCAATGCTAAAGGACTAATATGTATTTTAAAAAAAAATAGTTGGTGGCTTCGATGTGAGAAATGTTTTACAATGTACAACACAATTTTCCCAGTTTGATCAGCATTTAACTTACATTCCAATGTAAAAAGTAAAGTTCCCTTTCAAACCTGACGGTCTACGGGGCACGTGAAGTAGAGTTCACGTGTTTCCGTTTCAATGTATTGCTTACCTACCATGTAAGAGACAATCGGCCTCTTGTCTGTTGTTGAAAAACATCGATAGAATCTCCATCTTCCATTTCCAGCATAGCTGGTGTGTCCTCATAATTTATAGGATTTCCATAAAATCTAAATCTTAGAACTCCCGTTTGTATTCCAGCTCTATTGCAATAAACGCCCATTAACTTTCGCAGTAGTGTATACTTCTTTGATTTTAAATTGAACTACACTTCAATCTTGACCCGTTACTTTAAGATTGATGTGTTCCCTTTGTATTATGGTTCTCGACTTTCTGCCTCGGATAGTCTTCCATTCTTTTGTTTCAAAGTTTTGTCCCTTACTAGAGGGATCCAAAATTTAAGTTTTTAATATCATGGTAGCAAAAATACAAGACATTAATTTTTAAAATATTAAATATTTTACACAATTAGTAAAGTTTATTTGAAAATAATTTTACATTTAAATTTTACTCTTTTAAAGTGCTGACGTATACGACTGATATAAAAAAAATAGAATATTTATTTATTTATTTTTTGCTTTAAAATTAGGTCACCTGTGTGTTGTATAATTTTTGAAAATAGTGTCTAATTTTTTTTTTAATAACGTTGTTTCTAAATTATTTCCCTTGCACAATATTTCATGTTCAAATATTCTAATGGGAGATTATTTAATGCCGACGATCTCAGTTGTAGAGATCACATCCCAAATGTTTTCAAATCTAACTAAAAATTATAATAAATTCAAGCGTCAGATTTACACTGGGAATAGTATGTGTTTGAATGTTTCGTTATTAATTTTTATTGTCTCGGTGTAGGTTAGATCAGTAAATTATCACTAAACTACACACTGATATATGCATGGTTTATAATTGAGTCTTCTTTTCTAAGGGGGGGGGGCACTTGAAAATTTTTGTGGGGCCGACTAAAATTTTATCGGGGAGGGGGCATTGGTAAAATTATATATTTTCTACATAAATTCTATTTCCTTCGGGTGGTGGGGGAGGTCGATATCTTTCGGGGAGTGGGGGGAATTACAAATCCCCCCCCCCCCCCGAGAGATGCCTGGATGAAACAATGCTTAACTGGAACCCCCAACACGTATTTTACACCAGTGGCCATTAACCCTACGTTTAATTGCTACCATCAACACGTATTTGCAGCGTTGACATTTGTCTAAGGTACAGGGGTCTGACTTTTATCACAAGCATAGGCGTCAACCGTTACCAAAGCCCAGGATGGCCCATAATGAAGTCATTCACAGTAAACACACACGCGCGAACCCAAACCTCTGCCCCTGATATAAGAAAGTGTTCAATTATAACATCAAAATTTGATAACTCTTTTGGCCGATCGACAATGGGTCTAAAATATCCATAAATATAGTATATACACAGGTATTATTATTTTCTTTTTAATGTTAGATAAGTAATTTCAATTGTCTCAGTTGTGGAGAAACCAAATCATCCGCTGTTAAACCCTGCTAATTAACTT